CATGCTGTTTAGATACGGAAGCCTGAGTCTGAGTTTTATTGTTTACTAAAGCTGATCTGCTCTCACTTGTAATTTTCTTCATATTATTCTCTGAACATTTGAAATGTCAAATTATCCTATCCATATAAAATTTAAAATTACTTTATCCAGTTCTTGGAAGTAAGATTTGAATTAGAACTGCATTGAATTTATGTACTAATGTCTTAAATTTATGTATTAGTTTCGTAAGGACTGGAATGTTTATGATATTAAGTCTTGCCACACACATCTCCATTCTTTGAGATATTGTTGTATGCCGTTCAATACAATTTCATCATTTTATTTGTATAGGTAGCATGCCTTTTCTCGTTAAATGCATCCTTAGGAATGTTACAGCTTTTGTTGCTGTTGTGAATAGGCTATTTTTTCCATTTCCCTTCCCAAATGTTTATTGCTATTATAGATCAAATCTCTACATATTTATCTAGCTAGTTTGCTAAATTCTCTTACTGATTTTAATATTATTTTATTAAAATCTATTGGGTTCTCTAGGTATACTCTCAATCATTTGTAAATAAAGATGTTTTCTCTTGTTTTCCAATATGCATTCCACTCCATTCATTTTCCTTTCTTACTGTATTAGTTAAAACCTCCACAGCCGTGATGGTCAATAGTGGCGACAGCAGGCGCTCCATCTTGTTCTTGAATTAGTAGATATGACTTCAGCATTTTTCCACTTAATAAAATGTTTGATCTTGGTTTTTAGTAAATAGTCTTTATCATGTGTAAATAGTTTCTATCCACACTCAACAACTTCTTAGGGGAAAAACATAATACATACCTGTCAGATACAAGACAGAACTACCAAATATCTATGAAACTGACCACATAAGTTGTGAGGCATAAATCATATTTCTAATTTCTCTGCAATAGTGTGAAACATAAATTCTTGCTGCTTAGAAAATATGAAACAGCAGAGAACTAGGATCAGTTTGGAAACACCCAATTCCGGCATCTCAGAGAGAACTCTGCAAACAGGTCGTGGGGGTCCACGTTCCCCAAGCATTTTAGACACACCACACATTTGCCGACCACAGGATGCAGTAGCCCGAAGACAACCCTCATAGTGGCTTCCAATCCATGTGAGTGGCAGGTGGAAGGTGAAGGGGAGGGGGCTGTGGGCAGGAAGTGGACTGGAGCAAAGGGGTCGTATGGCAGAGGCCGGTGTCCCAGATAGGGGTGGTGGGTTAGAAAGGAGAGGACAGACAAGGCCAGAACATAACATGACAGAGATGGGACAAAACCGGGTATCACTTCCCATCCGATGCTGTTACGTTATAAATAAATTCTCTTACTCCCTGAGAGGACTGTGGAAATAAGTCGGAATCCCACAACAAGCAGGAAACTTGCAAATCCTTCAGTCCATCGCAGCCGCCAGGAGGCGTGCATTTGAGTCATCCCAGGCAGAGAGAGACGAGTGTCCCCTTGTCCTATGCCTCATCCTCCTCCTGAGGCCCAAGTGCGGTGTCTCAGTGTCCATCACCTGATCTGCTACATGAGGAGAGGGGATCACAGCCCTGTCTGCAGGGGACACAGGTCCAGCATTCAAAGGTGACTCCTGGATGCACACAATCCAACATGTGGCCTGAGAGTTCCTCAACTACCCGTTTGTGCCCCCAACTCCCCAGCCAGGACAGGCCCTGCCCTTCCATCACCTCGCTTGGCTACTGCTGACCCTTAGTCGCCCAGTTGGAGATGAAAGCCCTGACTCTCCACTGGGCCTTTTCTGATACCACTTTGGCAGCAGTGTCGGGGCATCTCACGAGGGTGGGAGTCTACGCCCCGGCTAGGCCTTGGCCAGTGTGGGTGGGGAGTGGATCACTGATTTTTCTGGAGGGTTGGAGGAGAATGGTCATTGTCTAAACGTTTTCTGTCTTGCCAGGGTGCCTCTTTCTTCATCCTTCGGCTAGAGGGAGCAGGCTTTTGTTGGGGCTGCCTTTTTTTTTTTTTTGGTCTGCTCCTGTTGCTGGCTTCTTCAGCTCCAAGAATGGGATATATGAGCCAAAAAAACCTCCTAGGAGTCTCACTATAGTGTCCTTCCTCACGTCCCACAGTCCCTAGCTGGTCTACCTTCTTCTCTCCACCTTTCAGAATCTTCTTATGTTTGTTTTATATAAATTGTCCAGAGTTTCTAGTTGTCCTTAATCCAATCCTTAGTTGATTGGATTCAGCAGAACCATTAGGCAACTATCTAAAGCCCATCCTACATCATGCACCCTTGCATCCTGAACAGGTGCACACGGGCCAGGCGGGGCCTGCTGAAAGCTCCTGGATGCACACAATAAGGAGCAGGAAGCCACCTGCTCCTTAGGCCCCACAGACACCTTATGGCCCTTCTAGGCAACCTCAGCTCATATTATCCTGCAACTGTGTCTTCCTAGTGATCAATTTCTGTGACTAATTTTTCCTCCTGTCTCCCAGCGTGTGGTACTTTACGCCTTCCACATTTCATTCTTTGAAGCTCTGATTGATTTCTTACACTTCCTTCTCATCCATGTGGATTCTCTGCTTGTGACAAGATCTTGATTGCAAGAGTCTTGATTACAAAAGTCTCTGGTACAAACTTAGTATCTTCCAATCTACGTGACTGCCCGCACCTTTCTCTGGACTTCCTTCAACCTATTCAGTCCTGCTCAAGGTGATGACCGAAGGCGTGGTTATTCCAGAGACCTGTGGAATGCTTAAAGGTGCTTACAGACTCAACAGCTAACGTTGTTGTGCCTGCCATGTTTCTGGAGGGGAAACCAAGTAGCTAATGATCTTTGTTTTTCTAACAGTCTCAGGAAACAAATTCATGCAGGGCGTATATCCGCGTAAAAGAAGTAGTGGCTACATTGCCCTAGCTAAAGGGTAAAGCCACATTGGTACGCACTGCGCTAAAGTGGAAGCTGACTTTAAGTCATAATTTGCATTTGCTCCTCGCGGAGTTATTTATCTGGGGATGTTAGAGTTCTCTGTATGCGGGAACTCTCATTTGGCATTATATGAATGGACTCTGGCTGGATCTCTGTAGCTCAGGCTGATTTCTAGGAGCAGGCAGCATGTTCTCTGGTGACACTTCCTATAATTCTATAATAACTGGCTCCTGGGACGAAAGAAAAGCTGAACTCAACATCAAGCTTCTTTCTGTACGAGAAACCCAGAAGAGATGGCTAAAAGCTCAACCCTGGGGCCTTGGAGGAAATTCATACCTCCAGAAGGGACTGTGGAGGACAATCCCACTCAAGGATTATCTTCAAGTTAGCAAATCTCTTCTCTCAGTCAGAGCAGGAAAAAATATAAGGGAAATATTTAAGCAAGTGAAGGAAGGCAGTGAGCAAGAAGACAAACTGACTCTGGCTAAAAACCATCCAAAGAGGCTGGACTCAGTCTGAATCAAATTGATAGGAAGGTTCCAGGGCCAGGTCTGTCCTTCCCCATGTGGCTGCAGTGACCACTGGACAAGAGCCACTGGTTTAGTTTATGAGTTTAACTCATATGATGCCATTTGTCAAGGTCACTTTGAGAGCTCTTGGAGAAACGTACTCAGGCTGCAGGCTTCTCTTTACTTCATTCCAGTGTGGTCACACAGCTTAGCTACCAAGGATTTGAGGAAGAAAAGTATGTGTGTATGGGTGAGAATGTGTACATTAGGTAAGAGATGTCCTTGGGCCAAACGCTCCCAGAGTACGCTGATCTGTATACAGACTTGCTCCCGTTCAGAGACCTTCTTACATATCTGTCTCTCTTTGCCTTATGGTCAGTCTTATATCACCAACCAGACTGTAAGTTCCTTGAAGTCGGGACAGCATCTCAGACTTCAACATTCTTTAGTACCTGTCTCAGTGCCGGGCTCAATAAATACTATATAAACTTGAAAGGACCCGAGAATTACTTGTAGTATGTATTAGTCTGCCCAAGCTGCTGCAACACAATGCCGTCAACTGAGTGACTTACACAACAGACACTTAATTCTCACGGTTCTGGGTGCTGGGAAGTACAAGATCAGGGTGCTGGCCAATTCAATTCCTGGTGGGAGCCCTCTTCCTGGCTTTCAGATGGCTGCCTTGTCACTGTGACCTCATATGGTGGAGAGAGAGCAAACTCTCTCTTCCTCTTTCTATAAAGCCGCTCCTCCCATCGTGAAGACCCCACCCTCGTGACCTCATCTACTCTTAATTATCTCTCAAAGGTCCCATCTGCAAATAACCTCACATTGGGGTTAGGGCATCAACATGGAATTGGAGGGGACACAGTGCAGTCCATGGGACAGCAGTTTCTATGGCCAACCTCAGACCGGGGAGGCTGCTGGTGGTGGGAGGAGCCAGAGGGAGACGGACCATGAAGTTCTAAGTGAGATGCTTCAGCGGAGAAGGGGACTTCGAAGGAGGTGGGAGTCTAAGAAACAGGCACACAGCAGAGCTGGTGAAGGAAACGCTTAACCTCATTGAGAGCCAGGGCACCTATTCCTCAGATGGCGTCCTGTGCCCCAGACATCCCAGGAGTTATCCTCTGCCTCAGGGGCACAACTCTTTCATACACACACACACACACACACACACACTCAGACGCACGCACACTCCAGGGCTTCTTGACTCCACTCAAGGACCCCTGTTTACCTGTATTATTATCAACCTGCCTCTCCACCTTACCGCTCTCCTGTGCCTTCTTTCTCACTCATGCTTTAGCTTCTCCCGAGAACTGCCTGATCTTCATTTAATTTCACAGCCTGTCATGGTGCTGTGGTTTCAAGGCAGAGGGAGGACAGAGCTATTTATAAAGCCTTTTCTATCTCTCCAGCTGCTTGCCTTGCTCTCTGGTCACCGCCGCTGGCTTGCAGGCTCCCAGTGACCCTGCCATGCATGCCCAACAGGGTGGATGGAGATTCTTTCCTGGTCCACTGGGCTGTCAGAGCCCCCAAGACTATAATTTTACACTCTTCTCTGGATTAAAAACAAAGTCTTTATGGAAAATCCACTTACCTTAGTGAGAAGCCACAGCACAGGCTGGTTCTCATGGTCATGCCAGTTAGGGCTCTGAGGAATTGCCATTACTAGACGAACAACAAGGGTTGGTCTTTCTGCCATTTTGTTTGTGGAGCCATTTTTACACGTGGCCATTTTGAAAACAATGACACTCTTTCTCTGGGAACTTGTTTGTGTTGTATAGTCTGGCTTGGCAGATGCTCTGCTCTATTCCTCTAAGTTTCTCTTCTGTTCTTGGGCTTGCTTGAGAGCCGTCAGGATGTCTTCATGTGTTGAGCATCTGTCTTCTCTCTTCCACTTCCCTTTTTCTTGTTCCTCAAGTCTTGGAAACACAGTGGTTGACAGCATTGGAGGTTTTGCGGTCAAGCTGAGTTCAAGTCCCAGTTCTGCTTACTTATCAGCTGTGTGACATTTGGCAAATTATTTCACCCCTCCCACCTCATGTGGAAAGCAGGCATAAGGACAGTACCTGCCAAAGGCATCGAGGCAGTGAATATATAGAGCTTAGCCAGGGCCCTGAGTGTTAGCAATTACCCTTATTATCATTCTGGAACGCGAGATTCCAATAGCAGAGTGAGACGTGGATACGTGAAAGATCTCTAGAACACTGGGGGACACCTAGGACCTAGAGTGTGCACCACAGAGATGTCCACAGCTGAAACTGATCTCTAAATGCCCAGGGCCTGGCCTTTGGAGTCTGAGGGCTGCATGCTGGGGACAGAGTGATTGGAGAGCAGGGCTGAGGAGCAGACAATTCGGGTGTTGAAACCTGTCTCACCCTTGTGATCATGGCCAACTTCTCCCCTCTCTGAAGCTCTGTTTGCCTTTCTTTTTTTCATTTGTTATTTTACTTATTGAGGTCACATTGGTTTACAACATTGTGCAAATTTCAGGTGTACATCATTATAGTTTGACTTCTGTATAGACAGCATCGTGTTTATCACCAAAAGTCTAGCTTCCATCCATCACCATACACATGTGTGCCCTTATCCCTTTTGCCCTCCCTTTACCCCCTTTCCCCTCTGGTAATCACCAATCTACTTCTTGTATCTATGTGTTTGTTGTTTTATCTTCCACATTTGAATGAAGTCTTATGGTATTTTGGGCATCTGTTTCCTCACCCATAAGATGAGAGAATAATTTCCGGCCAGGACTATTTTGGTAAGTTTTACAGACCACGTGTCTAAAATGTGTAGCACCTGCCTGGCTCTGAGTGGGCGCTCAGACTTTTTAAATTATCTGTGTCCTGACACCCACGTGCTCACTTTGTGATAAGCGTCCCCTGCAGTGGTAGCCAGACCTCTGTGGGAAGGGGCGGGAGCAGAGGGGCAAAAGCAGAGACACAATCTCTCCCTCAATAGCATACAGCGGCTCCAAGACACTTTCAAATTTGGCATCTCACCCCTGAAGGCCACTCTGAGGCAGGGCGGAGGGGGTCAGCCCCTCTCAGGAGTGGGCAAGGGTGCCAGAGGCAATGAGATGTGCCCATAAGCTCAGAGGCAGGGCCAGTCCCCACGGGCGCTCTCCCACCCCAAGCCCAGGCTCAGTGCCACGTCCACACTGCAGCCCCTCCCTGGGCCTCCTCAGAAATGGCAATGCCCCCTGTCCACCCAGAGGTGACTGCCTCACAGGGGGTGGGAGGGGACAGTATTAGCCAGGGAATAAATTTACTACTTAATGACCAGGAAATTTTTTAAAAAGAGAGATTAGAAAATTTCAGAGTGCATTGCACACAAGAAGAGAAGATACTATTTCACGAAACTTTTGTTTCATTTGTGTGTTTGTGTGTACTGAGTATTGATGTAAAATGTGTTTTTTGGTTGGGTCACTGTCAAGAAAAGTTTGAAAAACCCTTTATTAGATATTGAAATTTATACTGATTGCTGACTGCTGTGTTCAGAGCAAATAGACTTCTTCCAAGCACTCCAATTACTCTACACTGGGGGGTCGGCAGATTTTCTCCCCATTTCTTCAATCTGATGCAACCATATGAAGAAAATTCTTCCAAATCTGCTTCCATGACATGGCAACCTCCCTCCAGCTCTGAAAACTCTAAGGCCTCCTCACGCCTTACAGGGTGAATCCAAACTCCCACTGGCTTCTAACCCACCACCTTTCCAGCCACATCTTCTGCAACTTCTCAGTGTCTCTGCTCCTGCCAGGCTTGTCTTCCCAGGGTAACTTCCATCTGCCTAGGAGGAAAGTGCCTTCTCCACCTCCACATATCTCCATCCTCCAGGCCCTGCCCATTTTTCACTCCCCTCTGAAGATCTCCTCACTCGAAGGCCATGTTTATTCTGTCTTCCTGTGAAAGCACAGCATTTCTTATGCAACGAGCCCGCAGGGGTCCCTGGTCACGTGTTGCCCAAGGCCACTTGCTGAATTGCTGCTTTAAAAACCACACTCCATCAGCATGATGCTTTTGAGAGTCATCTCTGTGTGACATGCCTCAGCAGCTTGCTCCTTTTTTTAACCACTGAGCACCACTCCGTGGTTCATATCACGCTATCCATTTGCAATGAGTTTGCCAAACAGCAGTCTGAAGGAGCAATCCCCACAAGGCTGCCCTCACTTCAGACACCAGCCACAAGTTTGGGGGTCCCCAGGACCACCCACACTTCAGATGAGCTGGCTACAAATTTAGGAGTCTCCACAGCCACCCTGAGATTCAATAATTTGCCAGAACAACTCATAGAACTCAGGAAAGTGCTATACTTAGAATCACAATTTTATTATAACAAAGGGATACAAATTAGAACCAGCCAAAGGTGCCAGCACATACGGCAGAATCTGGGAGGGCTTCAAACATGAAGTTCCCATGTCCTCAGGGATGTGTTACCCTCCTGGCATCAATGTGTGACAAAATGCACAGAATATTGCTAAACCAGGAAGCTTACCTGCACTTTGGTGTCCAGAGTTTTTACTGAGGCTTGATCACATAGTGCCCATATGGCTGACCTTCAGTCTCCAGCTGCTCCCAGAGGTTGGAGCTGACGTGGTGTGTCCCAACCCACCTCATAGATCACATTGTTAGACTGTTGGGTGACCGAGCCCCCAGGAAAACAAAGACAGTTCTAGGAGGCAGGACATCCCAGGGGCCTACAGATCCCCTCCCAGTAGCCGAAAGCAAAGGCCAGACATGTCTCTGGTTAATTCTTTACTACACACCATGCACCTGCTGATAGACATTGAGAGAGCTGCCAGTTTGGGGCTGTTAGGAATTAAGCTGATGGTACAGGCAACAACATAGGTGAATCTCAAAAACATTAGGCCAAGTGAAAGAAGCACATCCTTATGATTCCATTCATATCAAACCATTGAAAAGGCAAATCTAATCTATGGTGATGGTAGGACAGGCTACAGCTACATGATTTGTGGGGCCTGGTGCATTTTATTGTATGCAAATTACACCTCAATGAAGTTGGTTTTTAAAAACCCTACTCCCACTGACTGAGCCCTGCCTCTATGCCAGCCATTTTGCTAAACATTTTACAATATTAGTGCTTTTATGCTCAGATAGCACTGCAAGGTGGGCATTATAAACCCTATTTTCCAGATGAAGACATTGCAGCTTAGAGAGAAAAGTAGCTTGCCCACAGTATCACCTGGTAAGTGACAGGTCTGAATTTGAACCCAGGCCTATTAGGCCCCAAATGCCCTGAACCAGTGTCTGCCAGCACCCTGTTCTCTACTCAGCTCCTCCCTGGGTTGTGTTTGGCTTTTCTGTTGTGTTTTTCTGGATCTTTCTACCCTCTACAAGTCCCTAAGTTCAGAGATGGCATCAACACGGAAAAAAGGTGTCCACTGTGGGGTCCATTTGTGCTCTCCTTTTCAGACTTTTTCATATGCATATATCTTCAGACACAAGTACGTAAAGTTTTTCTTTTGTTATTTTTTATAGAATGGGGATCTTACTGTACAAACTGTAGCATGATTTTTTTTTTTCATTTAACAATGTTTTATGAGTTAAAATTTCCTGAACTCTTAGATGGTGTTATCTGAGTTACTCATTGGTTGCTCTTTCAGGGCAAAGAAGGAGAGAAAGTTTTAAAGTTTTCTGAAGTGTCTGCTGTAGATGATAACCCTGCTGTCAGTCCTGCACAAGGCTCTCTTATTGAGATTTAGGATGGTTGTAACTTCTCCAAACTGACACGAAAGGAGAAATCCTTTATCGAGTACATTCAGCTCTGTTTTTAGAGTGGTTGTATTTTCTTAAGGACAACTCTAAAGGGTAAAATATGAAATGTTTGACACTAATTTTATATATATTATATGCTAATTTATATCTACATCTCTATATATTTATATCTATGTCTATCTATCTATCTATCTATCTATCTATCTATCTATCTATATCATGAACTTAAATATTCTCCAAGAACCTCTTTAAAGGCTGCCTGTATCCCAGGATGTAGGCATGCTATAATTTATTTAGCCAATTTCCCTTTATTGCATAGCTCACCTCCCCCTAGTCTTTGAGAATTATAAATCATGCAGCAATGGACCCAACCACACATAAATGTTGTATTTTAACTTTAAGTACTAACTAAAATGAGTGTGAAATTTGTCAGAAAAGACGAAGAATTTAGAAGTTCATGGTGGGGGGCAGTTTGCGGGAGGTGGTCTCAGGTTAGATGGTGTCTGGGCTCCTTAAGAACAGAAACATCCCGGGCTCACCCACAGATGTGGCAGCACTTCTGCACTAAATCGAAGTCCACGTTGGTTCTTCGCAGCTTATAGTCCCATATGGTTTGTTGGTCTCTCAGGCAGCTCTCTGGGTCTCACCCTGATATTTTTGGTCTGAGAAAGAGGCAAAATCTGCTGCCAAGAGGAATCACAGAGGTGCATCAAATCCTACAGTTCTGTTTTCATTTTCCTGCAGGCAACCTGTTGCAATGTTGTCTGCGTGACAATAAATAGAACATACGGACGAATTTTAAATTCTCTCTGGGATCAGACATCGGTGAGGCGGGATCTGAGTTTAACCCAGTGCGAGAGTAAACTGCACAAAAGGATCCTGGCCACAATCAGAAGACAGAGCTCCCCGTGGGCCGGTGGGTGACAGGGCTGCCCACTGAGGGGAGCACACAGCTGCGAGGCCACCCATGTGGGTAGCAGATGCTGTGAGCACTCAGCTTGGATTCCCTTGCATCCCTCTTACCCAACTTCTCTTCGTATCCTCATGTGATGGAGAGAGAGAGAGAGAGAAAGAGAAAGAGAGAGAGAGGAGAGAGAGAGGGGAGAGAGACACAGCAGGGGTTGGGGGAGAGAGGGAGGGAGGGAGAAAGAGAGAGAGAGAGAGAGAGAGAGAGAGAGAGAGAGGGAGAGAGGAGCAAGCTTTCTGGTGTCTTTTCTTATAAGGACACTAATCCCATCATGAGGGACCCACCTTCATGACCTCATCTCAACCTAATTACCTCCCAAAGGCCCCCCCCCCCCAATACCAGCACATCTGGGGCTAGGGCCTCGACATATGAATTTGGGGGGTGTAATGAGTCTATAGGGGTGCCCTCACTTGGCATTTTCTCCTTTCTGGTCATGCTTCTCTCACCCCTTACGCCTTTCACCAGGGAGTACTTTCTTAATAAATCGCGTACACACAAGTCCCTGTCTAGAGTCTGCTTCTGGAGAACCCGAGCCAAGGTACCGTGCTTGTGAAAAGTGAACTAGAAAAGGTGTTGAAAGAGCTTTACACAGCTTAAGCCAGCAGCCATGGGAGGACCGAGTGCGGTCAGGGCAGAGAAACGGCTTGGAACAGCGTGTGCTGGGGAGGAAGGCCACCACGATTGCGCAAGGAGTTCTAAAGATGTATCAACATTTGCTCCCAAGTAGGGAATAAATTGAAATCCCCACCTCCTCTTCCGCCTCCCATCCCGCCTGTCTCTCTGGGTTGTGCTTCTCAAATGGATTGTTCACACACACCCCTCCGCAGGGATGTGTGAGCGCATGTCGGGAGTGCAAGAAACAACAGGATCAATATGAGACTTCTTCATGGAGTATGGACTTCACTTAAAAGTTTCTGGGGTAAACAGTAATGTACTCTAACCAATAAGTAACTTAAAACACTGGCTTAAAAAAAAAAAACCCAGATAGACAATTGAATTTAAAATTCAAATGGATTTTTAAAATTTAATCTCCAGTTGTTACTGACCCCTTTGAGACCATACTCCAGATTTTCAAGGGTAAAAGTTCTTTCTTCTTTCCCATCAGAGGGATTTCAGTACTTTTGGGCTATCCAGTATCAATACTCCTTTTCTTTTTTTACTAACAGAACTGCAATTTTGTTGGTGGACCTAACTTAAAAAACACCCTACATTTTCCAGCTTCCCTAGGAGAGAGGGTGGCTGAGTGTGAGTTCTGGCCAACGAGACGTAAGTAGAAATTACTGGGTGGGATATCACAGAGCATGCCCACTTATCTAAGGGCAGATCAGTTCAGCTGGCGAGCCTCCTTTTGGCCTTGAACTTTCTCCTTATTCCAGCCTGGAAGCGACCACAGGGCAACCATGGGGAAAATGCCAAGAACTGGCTGAGACCTCTGTCCTGTTATCCTTGAGTCCTTGAACCACGCCCTTAAGTGCCTGTCTCTGAACTTTTTGTAACAAGAGAAAAATAAAACTCCTAATTCATTTAAACCACTGTTTTTCAAGTTTCCATTATACCTGATGGCAGTTCTTCATTGATACAATATCCAACGCTGGGAGAAATTTTCAACATTTCTCAGTTGTCTGTGAACTTTTACTTTCTGTCTTTCACCTTTTACAAAAATGTCACTGCCACGTCTTGAGTCTTCGAGTCTCATCTTATCGTGCTCTATTTGAGGATGCTGAAGGATGGAGAAAAAGCTGAAGGGATCAGATGCCTGGGCAGGAGAAGGAATCCACCCAGATGCATCTAAGAATGAAGACCCAGGGCCCCCTGTCCACGAGCAAGGGAAAGCCCGTGTGACTCTCCTTATCCCATCTTCCCACCTCCTCCAGCTGCCCTTATGAAGTCCACTAGAAAGCGGGGAGCCTTGGGGTAACATAGACGTAGTTCTGTTCGTCTCTGTATCCTTTACTAGCCACGTATCTCCTAGTTTCTCATCCCTAATCGTACCAACTTTACCATATTACTGGGCTGATGACACGTAATAATGCATATTCGGTGCCTGCACAGCCCCTGCCTTCCCACATAGCACCACCAACACCACACGCACATAGACGGCATTGTCCTGTACAATTTTCAACTTTTATTTAAATGCTATCATTTCTATATCTCCTTTGGCAACTTGTGTTCACGCAACATTTTCTTTATGCATATTGATAAGCGTAGCTGTGTAGTACTCCGTTGCATGAGTATATCATGATTTATTTCTTCATTTTGCCTACTGATGGACATCTAGGATGGTCTCTATTTTTCATTCTTACCAACAGTGCTGAATGGACACTCATATTCACGTAGGTGAGGGTATCTACCTAAAGAGGAACTGGGGGCCTTAGAGAATTAACACCTGCAACTTTAATAGTGCTCAATTTCTCTCCAAAGTAGTAGATCGATTTATTCTCTCATCAGCAGCATATAGACATCCTCTTGCTCCACTTTCTTGACAACACTTGGTATTCTTACTTTTTTTCCTTTTTGTCAACTAATGGGTAGGCTTTGGGGGACCCTAACCCATAAGACTACTGCTCCTTTCCCAAGCTCTGAGCCAAATGGGAAATAAGACAAAGGGCTCGGCAGATGGAGAAGCAAACACCACCTTTACCGGCAATAAAGTTGGGTTACAATGAGAGCCAGAGAACTTGCTAGGCCCCAGAACAGCCCACTCGTGGAAAGATTGAATCTGCAGCATAATCACACTTACCTGGGCTGCTGGATCGTGCTGGTTTAGGTGGCGAGGGAGAGCAAAAGAGACCAAACTCCTTGCATTCAGGATCTTTTTTAGATAAGTTCCACCCAGCAGAAAAACATGGGCCAAAGACCCCCCCAACTAGGTAACTCATTCCATCTCCATGGGGAGGGGGAAGGGTAAGACAAGAGGCTGTGAATATTTAGGGCAATCTTCCTTTTTAAAGTCAACATCAGGATTGGGGAAGAAACGTGTTTCTCTCAGCCAGTATGAAATGGCATCTTTGTTTCTGGTTGCATTTCTCTGATTGCTGGTGAGGTTGAGCAAATTGTCATGAGTTTACCAGCCACTGAAGCTTCCTCTTCCGTGAACTGCCTATTCCTCTTCTTGACCCATTTTTCTGTTGTGTTGTTTGTCTTTCTCTTACGGATTTATATGCAATATTTATCTATTCTTAACACCAAATTTCTGTCAGCAATACATATTGCTAATATATTATCTCTGTCTTTGAGTTGTGTTTTCACTTATTTGAGATGAAATAGAAGTATGTGAAAACTGAAGTTTTTTGTCTTAATGTAGTCAAATACTTTTTCAATCCTTCCCTTTAAGGTTCATGGTGTTTGCGTCTTAAGAAATTCTTTACTTCCTTTTACTGGCTATGGTAGCAAGAGTTTCAGGGTGTGTATGTGCTCAGTTGCTTCTGTCACATCCCAAGGATGGGAAGCAAAAGTCTGTAGTTCTGAGGGCCAACCCTGGAAAGAGGAAAGGCATGGAGGAAGAAAGAGAGAGAGTTGGAGGACTGTCGGCACCAGCCCCTACACTGAGCTAGTCCTCAACAGCACGATTTCTAGAGTTCCGCTGGACTCAGGCCCCATAGCCCCAGGAGGATGCTGAGTCACGATCCCTGGCCCCTGGGATAAGAGAGCTCCTCAGGCCACAGCAACCAACAGGCCAGGGAAGACCTCTGTCCTTGGGCATGAGGAATCTCTTAAGACAGAGAGGCCAAGATTCCCCTGGAGCATGGTAAGGACCGCGCACAGAAAGTAAGCACACTCTGAAGGCAACTCTGAATCTTTGTCCAGGATGGTCCTTTCCTTTTAAGGACAGAGTTTTTCCCATCCACATTGGGAATTGTCTTCCCGCGGCCTGCCTCTGAGAGGTTTGGGGAGGTGGCAGCTGAGACTCGACAAGCTCTGTGTCCATCCAGGTAAGAAGGGGTACAAGGGGACCTGAGTGGGCTTGTGAATTCCAAGTGAGCTGAGATGGCTGCAAGGATGAGCCATCTCCCGGAATAGGATGTGGTAAGGAACATTGTGCTGAATTTTCATCTGGAGGGCTATTTTCTCCACATCATCACTTCTGCTCACGCATTCCCCGAGATGCCTCTAACGAAATCATCTTCCCTCTCTCATCTGCAGCTTCTAAGTCTTGAAGTCACCTGGCACCAGCACCTCCTGGGCTGTGTCACCACCTCCCCCTTTTCACCCAGGATGAGCTCAATCAGCACCAAGCTGACCTGAACCTCCAGGCTACAGGAGGTTTCCCTCGATGGTCTTCTTCACCCGGCATGGACCGGCCCTCCATCCAAGGACGGTTCTCCAGTGCCTTATCCTCTCTTCTAAATAGGTGTTTTCTTCCCAGCCCTTCCCCCCACCAAACTCCTTATTACTTCTTTGTTTTTTAAAATCTACAATTTTTTCCCCCTGGGAAAGATTCACCCTGAGCTAACATCTATTGTCAATCTTCCTCTATTTTTTAGTATGTGAGCCACCAGCACAGCATTGCTGCTAACAGAGTCGTGTGGGTCCATACCTGGGAACTGAACCCAGGCTGCTGAAGCAGATCACGCTGAACTTAACCACTAGGCCACTGGGGCTGGTCCCTTCCTCTCTTTTTTTTTTCCCACCCCAAAGCCCAGTACATAGTTGTATGTTGTAGTTGTAGCTCCTCCTAGTTCTTCTGTGTGAGCCGCTGCCACAGCATGACTACTGACAGATGAGTGGTGTGGTTCTGGGCCCGGGAACCAAACCTGGGCCACCAAAGCAGAGTGTGCCAAACTTTAACCACTAAGCCATCAGGGCTGGCTCCCACCAAACTCTTGATAATTTACATCACAACCCAAATGGTTTTTGCTACAGTTAGCAGATCATTGATGTCATCTTCCCAGGGATGCAACAATCTTGCTTCTCATCAGCTCCCACCTCCCACCTAGCCCCAGCCCCTCTTCCCCAGAGTCCTTGTTCCCCTTCGGTGAACCCAATTTAGCTGAGACACATCAGGGGGTGCCAATGGTCTGTGAATTATGGTGAGTTTCCTAAAGGTTATGGGAGTTGAACGGGAATTTCCCTAACATAATCGAAAGGAATTATGAACACATTTTAATATAATAAAAGCAGATTTGTGTAATGTGTAATGTGTCTGTTTCTTGCCCCAGGGAAGGCCTGGCTGGCTGGAGCTCTGCCTTCCCTCCCTGACCCTTTTTCTCCCATCTTCATCCTGTAGTTTGTCATGGTAACCAGTAGGTGGCTGCAATTATACATACCCGCACATGTGTGCGCACACACACACACACACACACACTCTCTCTCTCTCTCTCTCCAAGCTATTCATTTTCATTTACAAAGTTGCCAAAAATAAATGAATGAGTGATTGGATGGATGGCTGGGTGCATGAGTGAATGACCAAATGAATGAATGAGTGAATGAATGAATGAGGACAAAGGAGAGGACTGCTGACAGAAAGACACCCAGTGGCAGTGACTATTAAAGACTGAATTTTTTTTATACCCCAACTGTTCAGCACATCAAGGCAACAGGCCATGGGAGCCAGAAAAACATGCCATTTCAATCCAGCAGTACAGAGTCTCTGAAATAACAAACGAAAAAGAAAGAAGGAAAAGAATAGGGGAGATCATAAAGGGGAAAAAGAGGAGACAGGACAAAGAAAGAGGGAGAGAGAAGAGCAGCTGCTACAGCTCATTCCAGGACAGACTACGCAGCAATAGGTGTTAACGGAGACTTAGATTCAAATATTTCTGAGTGCCCAGGACATTCCCGGCACTGAGCAAGACACACTTCCACACACATTCCCTCATTTAACACTGTCCTCAAAAGGAAAGGACCATCCTGGACAAAGATTCAGAGTTGCCTTCAGAGTGTGCTGACCTCCTGCGGGCGGTCCTTGCTGCACTCCAGGGGAATCTTGGCCTCTCTGTCTTAAGAGATTCCTCACGCCCAAGGACAGAGGTCTTCCCTGGCCTGTTGGTTGCTGTGGCCTGAGGAGCTCTCTTATCCCAGGGGCCAGGGATCGTGACTCAGCATCCTCCTGGGGCTATGGGGCCTGAGTCCAGCGGAACTCTAGAAATCGTGCTGTTGAGGACTAGCTCAGTGTAGGGGCTGGTGCCGACAGTCCTCCGGCTCTCTCTCTTTCTTCCTCCATGCCCTTCCTCTTTCCAGGGTTGGCCCTCAGAACTACAGACTTTTGCTTCCTATCCTTGGGATGTGGCTGAAGCAACTTAGCACGTACATACCCTGAAACTCTTGCTACCATAGCCAGTAAAAGGAAACAGAGGATTTCTTAAGACACGAACACCACGAACCTTAAAGGGAAGAATCGATAAAGTATTTGACTACATTCAGACAAAAAACTTTAGTTTTCATGTATTTCTAACCTTGGGAGGAAGGCATTATTCTTTGACTTTACAGATAATTAAATCAAAGCTGTAAGAAACTGAGACTAGCCTGATGGCACCGCTGTGTGCCTGAGGAGGGTGTTTCTGGGTGAATGAACTGGCGTACGGAGAACACCATGTAGGTGGTGGCTGTAGGGAACACAGCAAATGAGTCATAGAAAGAGCATCATTAGAGCTCAGGAACCCCATCCTGTCTTAAGTTCATTTGCTGTCTCCCCTCCCAGGCCACTTGTACAGAAGTTAGAGGCACAAACACTCAATACCAAACACCAAACTCTCCCACCTGCTCTGGAGATGGTAGGGAGGGCTCGGAGAGAAGATCCTAGTCCCTGCCCTTAGGAGCTTCAGGCTAGTCCAGGAGATAAAGCTGACAGCCATGAAGCAAAAAGACAAAGTGGACATAGAATAGAATGGGGGCTGACAGGGCTGGCTCAGACATTACGTGCTATAGGAATTCAGAAGGCGGAGGGAGATGTGAGGGACTGAACGCTCAAGAAAACATTCGCGGAGGAGGTGAGAGATACCATAAGGAGGAGCTTGGTGGAGGAAAGGGTTCCAGGTGAAAGGGACCAACTAGATGAAGGTAAGAATGAGCCTGATGTCTGGAATAGAATAAAGACGCTCTCCAGACTGGAATGGAAAGGGCCTAGGCATAGTGGAAATGAAACGGGTAAGAAATAGGGCTGGACTCCAGAGGGACTTGAGAGTCAGGGGGCTTCCACGGTGACCTGGATGTCAGCTACCAACATAACTTTCCCAACAGCCCATTAGAATATTGATGAAGATGGGGGATGGGCACTCACTGAAAATTAAGTCTAATAGTCAATCAATCCCCAGTTACTAACTACAAAGCTTATGAAACTGGATTGAGAAGCCCAATCAGAAGCAGATATGAGGACATCTGTCTCAACATAGACAGAGGGACCCTCATTCCTTTGGTCACTGCCTGACCTCTACTCCAAAACACAAAATTTTATTGAAAACTGGCAGTTCAGAGCACAGAGCAGCTACTTTTAGAAGTAGGCAAAGAACTGTGTTCCTTCTCCCTCAGTCCCTCACCCCCTTGCCCCTCAGGAGCGCCTCTCTCTTTATATATCTGTTTCTAGACTTCTACTTCCAAATGCAACGGGTCAGGCAGTGAGAGGTGAGGGGAGAGAGGGATACAAGTCAAGAAGAGGCAGAGGCAGTGAACTCTGAAGACTACTTTCAGCTGTCAGAGAACTGAGCAGTGGGGGCTGGAGAAGAGGCATTTCAGTCCAGTGGAGTGGAGGAGATGAGAGCCTGCGAGACACAGGATTTGGGCTGGGAGACCTTCCCCTTGACTTGGTGCCCAGAGATGAATCCAGAAAGGGAGTTTGACAGGTAGATAAGTGAACAAAGAGAGAGATGCCGCGGTGAGCCACACACCCCTCTGTGGACATATACTAGGTCTGGATGGATCCCTACTGCTTTGAGGAGGAGTAAACCAAAAGCCAAGACAGCACCTATGAAAACACAGTGTGGAATATTGGAAAGCATCCATCATCCTAAAGACCTAGCGAATGTCCAGAGCTCTGGAAGTGGTTTATTGCAGAAACCAAAAGGAAAATTGAGAAATAGTACTTGGC